ATCAGGATATATCGTATCGTGACCCCTCTGTCATGATATGTATCGTATCGCCAAATTCTTGCCAATACACAGCCATGTTATTAACGAAGTTCATGTACTCAGACCAGTAATATTTGGGGTCACAAGTTTTTGCCATGGATATTTTGTGGGTCAGAAGACAAAAAGTTTGGGAACCACTGGTCTAAAATGTAATTGTCGAGATTGAGACGGTGATGTAAAATATCGCGAGATTACCGAAGAAACACGAACATTTGTAGGACATCACACGGAAAAAGCCGAACAGCCGAAACGCTTTATCGACCCCGTCCTCCCCTCCTTTTTTCATCATGGCTGCTGTTTCTACTCTCCAGGAACGTTCAGATTGGTGATTGACTTTTATCCTTCAGTGCCTCTAACCTTATGTAGAACATCTTCGCTTGGATGTAAATCACGTCTTCCACTTTGCTGTTTCCCAGGTTTCGTTTAGTGAAATAACTTTTACTCATCACCCCCTTCTGGGCATTTTTACCATCCCCAACAACTAGCCACATACAGCCAACAACAGTTTCCAGTGCGATGGTTTGAGTTGGTGCACGCAGTTTTCCTCTCCATGAACAATGTGTGAAAACTGCGCTGAGCTGGTGGATGTTTTAAATGAAAGTAAGTAAACGTAATATTTTATTCCCATCACACATGATGCCGATTTAGCTGTTTGATTGTTTAACATCGTTGCTCACTGAAGCCTGATGGAACCGAGTTAGCTTGGTGAATGGCTAAATAAGAAGTGTTAAGTATTTTTGTATGTTGCTCATATTTCTATCCAATATTTTAAWAGCCCAAACAAAGAAAACGCGATGACATCGTGGCCACACATTTTGTGGTCGGTGACGCTTGTGTTTGCGCGTCGATCGGTTTAGGTGGATGTCAATTCAGGGCCTACCTGTGAAACAGCCCAAATAATCAAACTTCCAGTGCACTCAGGTTATCAATGCATTGAATTACTGTCGATAGGTGAAATACATCCGTAACGTCGCACATTTGACATTAAATGGATTCAGAGGGATACAAACGATGTGATAAGTGTTCTTTCACGGGTAAATTAGCCTCTGCTAAGTTAGCCGTTAAGCTAGCAAGGCAGGCTGACTTTGTTGATGTGTTTGTCAGGTCACTCTGCTCGATGTCCACCCCACTGCCTCCCATTGTTTTACACATGAACTCGGCAAACTTGCAAAATATAATTTATGTTCAGGATGTTGACGTTAAGATGCAAGCAGACATTTCAATAAGTGTTGTGGTATCTCTGTGAAACCTTAGTTAGCCACAGCTAGGCTAGCCCAATGAGCTACAATGAGGCGCAGTTTGTCACATGCACGTCAGTAATTCTCGGTTGCTTTTGCATATTTTTGAAGAAGTGTGTGCATACTGTATCTTACACACCAGTTAGTTTTTGTTGTAAATCACATTGTAAGGTTGCTACCAAACTCTATTGAAGCTGTTTTGTGGAGAAAATAAAAAAAAAAGTAGAATTTATTTGAGAAATTTGGGGTGCTGGCCAGGCTTTGTTGCACTTCAGTCTAAAACCTTTAAAATCAGAATCATCTTTGTGGCATTGTACTTTTAATATCAAGTTAGTAATAACAATAGTTGACACTTAATTTTTCTGATTGCAGTGTTTGCGTGTTCTGAGGTTTTGACTGTACTTTGTTAAATATTGCATAAACAAATTTCTGGTAATAGTACCGTAGTTGTGATTTTTATTGTGAAGTCTGTACTGGTATAGATTGTAATTTGTCCATGTATGTTATAACAAGACAATGCATGTTTTCTTTGTTACCAGCACTTTGTTTGCTATATTTTATTATTAAAATGTCTTGGTAAATAAAAGGTCCAGATTGTAATGATCATAGTCAGTTTTATCTCTTGATTTAGAAAGACACACAAAACTGGTTTTTGTTTCTTAACGTAAAAAAGTACTTAAGCAAAACATTTTTTTAGATCACCCTATCCCTCTTAACTTAATTTGTTGTACTTTCAGTTTTAATGTAGGATTTTGTTCTCTATTCAATCTTACACAATTTTTCGATGATGTGTGTACAGTGTCCTTGAGTGCCCCAAAAAGAGCTTTTCAAAATGTCTTACAGACAGATGTGAGTTCTTATGTGATTTGTTGTGATCGTAGGAAGCCAGTGGAGGTATGCTGCTTTGGAGAAAAAGAGGAGTGAAAGTTGACGGAAGTGAAAAAGACTCAATCTGAATAAGTGGGGAGATTGGGGAACTGTAAGAAAAACATCATCAATAATTGGAGTCTGAATAAGTTTGCAGAAAACTAGTTGATTCTTTTCTAAAAGGTTTTATTCAAAAGTCTGAACACCAATTCAGCTTTCAGCCAGACAGGCTCATGTGTTTTAGGCCTTGGGTCTTACTAAAAAAAAAGAAAAGAAGCTTGGATTACACTTTAATACAACGAGACAGCAGGTTGGTGATTGCACCATTTTGGACGTCTTTTTCCTGAGCGAGTATAAATGGATTGAAGATGCGGCGAGCCATAAATTATTATAATTTCTTCCACAGCTCATATAAGTATATAAACAGCAATAATGATGGCTGGATATTGTGTTTTCTATCACTCAATGATCAGTGTTGTGTCGGGTGAAGAAGAGTCCGCCTGTAGCATTGCGTTGCCTTCTCATGGCACAGCACAGCAACACATATTACTGCTGCATGTAAAACTCTGTCACTTGGTGCTTATTTGGATTGTGGTGTGACATATTCAAAAGTTATTGGCTAAACAGAAATTGACCAAAATTGGCAGAAGTGAACAAATTGATCAAATATATAACTTTTATTAGTAATTTTGACATAAAAAATGTTTCATAAGCTGGCATAAGTTGTCGAATGTGACAGGGCCTTTAGCGGAACTGTGCCCACCACTGCATCCTTAACAGTGGACTCAAATGTTCCTGTTATTAAAAGGATTAACAAATAAAACTCATATGTTAACTAGGGTTGGGCATAATCGTATCGTATGCAATTAATCGTCAGAAAAACATTAAAGCTGCTGTATGTAGTTTCTTGAGTACCCAAAAACTTAGAAAAATTTTGAACAGAAACAACCTTGTAGTCCCTCCCCCTGCTCTCAGCTCCCCTTCCTAGGCTCCTCCCCCACAGCACGGCACAGTCGGGAGCGTGCACGCTTGTAAACAGGAGGTGATCTCACCGTAACACACAGAGCTCAGAGCTAAGCTGCCTTCACAGGTAAGAACAAACCA